TTACGAGGTCTACTAATTGAATCATTGGCGGCTGAGCACACGTGGAGCCATCTATGTGCAGACGCATTCATAAAACAAAACTACAATGAACATTACAGCTTCCCGATGCCAGTGGGTTAACATCATTTAATAAGAAAAAAAAGTTCAAAATACATGACTAGCATAAATTCCATCCGAATACACCAGAATGAGTCAGGTGTTTCTCAGGTGTAAACTATGTATGATGAAATATATACACAAGATAAAGGAATGTCTCAATTATTTTGCAAATAAAGATAAAATTGCTTAGAGAACACGAAATCATAACTGTAAGAGAGCCAAACTGCAAACAACATTCCATATACGTTTTTAGAGAGCGAGAAAAATAGTATAACATCAGAGCGTAGTTTGAAAGTTCGGGCATGGTTACTGCAGTCTTAATTGTAACATATCTAACTTTATCAGGATTTTTATGACATTATCATGAATGAGTAAATCAATCTCATAACGAGAAAATATAATATCTGCTTTAAGGAATTCTACAATATCGTAGTCATGAAGATAATATTATCTGGTGCAAAGGAATGTGTCCATTTTTTTACTTGTATAATTAGTGTTATTATTAGCATTATCAACATTCCACCATCTTTATCACTTTGCATGGCAAGTCAACAGAAGTGATTAAATCATTCTTATTAACATAAATGGCAAATAATCACGTCGTTCACATTCTTTTGTGTTCTGATTTGATGTATTTTTTCTTTGAAAAAAGTAATATATAGGGGAAGAAATTAATAGATCAAGAATCTTGGTAGGAAATCTTATTTTATTTACACTCGGTTTTACAAGCAGTACTATATACAGATAGACATGGTAATTTTTGAACTCTAAAAGGGATCTCTATCGGCCAAAAGGAAGGAATAAATAGAAATTATCACAAGACGAATTGCTTAGGCCTCAGCAGGTGCAGGTGCAGCTGCAGGCGCAGGTGCAGGAGCAGGTGCTGGCTGTGGAGGGGCCACAGGGCGGAACTGAGGCTGCTGGGCGAACTGCTGGGGCACAAACTGTTGTCCGGCAAACTGCTGAGGCACAAATTGCTGCTGTCCAGCAAACGGCTGGGGAACAAAACGCTGACCAGCAAACTGCTGTGGAGCGAACTGTTGGGGTACAAACTGCTGTGGAACAGACTGTGGAGCTATGAACTGCTGAGGGGCTTGTCCCTGCTGAGCAGCCAAAATCTGTTGCTGTTGCAACTGCTGGATCTGTTGAGCTGTCAGTTGCGGGGTGAACTGAGGCTGAGGGGGAGCGAACCTGTTGAATCCCTGTGGGATCTGCTGGGGAACGAACTGCGGCTGAGGGCGAGGCTGCACGGGCTGAGGCACGGGAAGGGAGGAGGTACCAGCTGGGAGGAATGAAGTTCCTGAGGGCACCACAGGCTTTCCCTTGGCAGCTTCCTCGGGGGAGCCGTCGACGAAGCCGTCTTGGTTCGTGTCTTCTGAGAAGCCGTCAAGTTCCACGTTGATTGGGCGCTGAGGCACTTGGGGCTGGGGTCTGAACTGCTGTGGGACGAACTGGGGCTGCTGGGGGCGAGGCACGAATTGGGGCTGAGGTTGGGGAGCGAACTGGGGCTGCTGGGGGCGAGGCACAAATTGGGGCTGAGGTTGGGGAGCGAACTGGGGCTGCTGGGGGCGAGGAACAAACTGAGGTTGCGGTTGTGGGCGGGGAGCGAATTGGGGCTGTGGTTGGGGAACGAACTGGGGTTGTGGCTGGGGCTGTGGTTGGGGAACGAACTGGGGCTGTGGCTGAGGGCGGGGAGCGAACTGGGGCTGAGGGCGAGGAGCGAACTGGGGCTGTGGTTGGGGTTGTGGGCGGGGAGCAAATGGGCGCTGTGGCACTCGCTGGGGGTTGAACTGGGGCCTCGGAAGAGTGGGGATGTTCGGCAGCTGCTGGGGAATCTGCGGAACCTCAGGGACCGGCACAGGCTTGGGCAGGAGATCGGACGTGGGCGCAAAGCCCGTCTCGTTCCCGGCGCTGTACTCGACGATCTTGAGCTCTCCGAACTCGTCCAGGAAGCCGTACTTGCCCTTGACGTTGCCGTTCTCGTCGCGGGTCTCCAGCTTGAAGGTTCCGTCGGCGGCCTCGAAGCCGTAGGTGTAAGACCCGTCGTCGTTGACCTGGTTCACCTGTCGCAGGATGGGGACCTGTGTGGTGGTGGTGGTGGTTGTGGTGCTGGCTTCGGTGGTCTCGGGCACGTCTGTGGTGTCCTGTGCCCAAGCACAAGCCATCACACACAACAACACAAACTGAAAGGAGATGATTATTCATTTTAACTTATGCGAATATACTGTGGCTCATTTTTTATGCACGTTCAGCTCTTGCTTCTGTTTCATCACACCAGATTTCATAAAATGCATCTGAATGGAACAATGGCACGGCAGACACTCACTAGTTTGTACCCCATGTTGATTCTAGAAACTGTGACGCTGGGAAGAAGTGTAGCAGCCGATAGAACGACGGGGCT